TTTTGAGATGGAGTTTCACTCCTGTCCCCCAGGCTGGAGTTCAGTGGCATGATCTTGGCTCACTGCAACCTTTGCTTCCCAGATTCTGGTGATTCTCCTGCCTCAGCCTCCCGAGAAGCTGGGATTACAGATGCCTGCCATCACGCCTGGCTAATTTTTGTATTTTTCGTAGAGACAGGGTTTCACCATGTTGGCTAGGCTAGTCTCGAACTCCCAACCTCAGGTGATCCACTCTTCTCGGTCTCCTAAAATACTGGGATTACAGGTGTGAGCCACTACACCCAGCTTGTATTTTTCTTAATACTAATTTTTAGTAGTAGTATTATTAGCTTTGTGAGTCTTACTGTCTGCAGTTATTCATGTTTGGTTTCTTCATCTCCCCCATTTGTTTGAAATAGGATCTTGCTTTGTCACCCAAAGCTGGAGCACAGTGGTGCCATCATAGTTCATTGCAGCCTCGAACTCTTGTGCTCAAGCATTCCTCCTGCCTCACTCAGCCTCCCAAGTAGCTGCAACTGTAGGTGCACACCACCATGCCTGGCTAATTTTTGTTTGTTTGTTTGTGGAGATGGCAGTCTCACTATGTTGCCTAGGCTGGTCTCGCAATCCTCCCACCTCAGCCTCCCTAAGTGCTGGATTTACAGGTGTGAGCCACTGCACCCAGCTTGTACATCTTTATAGTCTACCTCTCATTATTTCACTGTGTTAGTTTATCGATTTTTCTGACCTTAGGTTTGTACAGTAGGTATATATATGGTGGTGTGTGTAGAGAAGGAATTGTAGTGGAGGAGGCACTATTGTTTAACACATGCTTTTTCAATGTTTTAATAAACCTTTTGGACAAGTTGAGGTTAATACATCTTTTGATCATGCATTTGCTATTTGTGGTTAGATTAAATTAGTGTATTTTATATTTTTCAGATGTTAAGATTAAACAACTAGTATTTGTAACTTCTTTTAAGATACTGAAATAAGATATATTTGGAGGGTAAATTGTAGTAGAATACTCTGTCTCATGTTCTCCTGTGTTTGTAACTTTTGTGTAGCAGTTATGTTCCAACAACACTGACTTTGAAGCCTGATGAAAATATATTTCCATAGACACAAAACTTGGAATAACATAGCAAAAAGACCAAGACAACAATATAACCCAGTGTTATATGCTCAACATGATGGTGCATCAGTAATGTATTTGATAAGAGTTGATATTGCAACTTTATTTTTCTTTCTTGTCACTCTTCATCAATTTTTTTGTGTTCATGCATTTTCAAATATTACATTACTTTGCCTCATGTTTAATCTGTATTTTATACAACATCACAGAATGCTAACAAAGGAAAAAGCTTAGGGTGTTTGTCACATTCTGCCAGCTCTCAGAAAAATCTAAGTCTCAGAAAAGTTACATCATTGCTTCTTACATTGTCTGTGATGAACATCCGGATTTTTCTTTTCTTTCTTTTCCCTTTTCTGTTGAAGACTGATCTAGAGCTCTATTATGCATGGCTGATATTTTGCTTGTGTCATATGTTTTACTACACTGAAAAATACCTTATTCTGCAGAGTCCACTGGTGATGTACCTGAATGTTGTGGTAGTGTCAGTTGCTCTGACAGTTTCCAAATGCTTATCTCAGTTTTTGTACTTTTCTTGTTATGGACTGGTAAAATGCAGTGCATCAACTATACTTTGAAACAAAACTAGGAGCACTCCATATGTTTGATCCATTCAGACAGTGGAACATCGCCATTTTAGATGTTAGTGAAGAGCAGCAGCTTTCAAATGAGCTTAATTGTTTTTTGTTTGTTTGTTTTTGAGATGGAGTCTGGTTCTGTTGCCCAGGCTGGAGTGCAGTGGCGTGCAACCTCTGCCTCCTGGTTTCAAGCAATTCTCCTGCCTCAGCCTCCCAAATAGCTGGGATTACAGGCTCATGCCATTACACCCTGCTAATTTTTTTTTTTTTTTTTTTTTTAATTTTTGGTAGAGACATGGTTTCACCATGTTGGCCAGGCTGGTCTTGAATTCCTGACCTCAAGTGATCTGCCTACCTCAGCCTCCCAAAGTGCTGGAAGTACAGACGTGAGCCACCGCGCCCGGCCTCAAATGAACTTAATTGTAAACACTTCAAAAGGAACTACCCCAGGAATTCTGGGGTAGAAAACAGCTTTTCTAGGTGCAAATGAAAAATTTAATTTATAGAAAGGTATTTTAATTAGTTAATATATAGTTCTCTTTTATATCTTTTTACACTTGTGCCTTTGTAGCCCCAAATAGCTTCAAGGGATTAAAATCATCCAGACAAATAGATTAAGATTTCAAGGAGATAATTATAAGTACAGAAAAAGTGTAGAGGAAAGTTTTGAGATAAAGCATTAAGAAAAACCTTAAATGTAGAAGACTACATAATTGAGGAACTGAACTTACCTTAATAGATCTTTAACTGTTTGAGTCCTTAAATTAAAATGCAAGAAATTTTATGTTTTAATAAAAACATAAAACATAATTTATGTTTTAATTTAAAAAGTGGGAGTTTTTGTTTGTTTTTAGTGGCTTTTAAAAGACAGAAATGCTAAGTTTTTAATTCTAGAGAGTAGCTTTGATGTTTGGCAAATATTTATTGAGCTTCTGAAATCATACCAAATTTATATTTGATCCTGGAGAAAGTCCTAAAATCATATAAAAATCAGGTAAATGGCCGGGCGCGGTGGCTCAAGCCTGTAATCCCAGCACTTTGGGAGGCCGACGCGGGTGGATCATGAGGTCAAGAGATTGAGACCATCCTGGTCAACATGGTGAAACCCCGTCTCTACTAAAAATACAAAAAATTAGCTGGGCATGGTGGCGCGTGCCTGTAATCCCAGCTACTCAGGAGGCTGAGGCAGGAGAATTGCCTGAACCCAGGAGGTGGAGGTTGCGGTGAGCCGAGATCGCGCCATTGCACTCCAGCCTGGGTAACAAGAGCGAAACTCCGTCCCCAAAAAAAAAAAAAAAAAAAAAAAAAATCAGGTAAATTACTGAGAAAGTTTCTTTGTATGCCTTTCACTTACAGATAAGTTGGAGTATGTCAAATAGGATCAACTAACTCAAAGATTCAAATTCTTAATGTGGGAATCAAATGGTACTTACATCCTACCAAACCATTGAGGATTAAGCCTGAATCTTTTTTTGGGTCACCAGCTCTAATTTATTGATGATAAGGTAAACTATGAAGAGTATTAGGTTTTCTTAAAAAGCAGTAAATTAAAGTTGAAAGTAGGAATAAAAGGGAAAGAATAGGGTTTTTAGGGTTTTTGGAGACCTCAGTATATATACTAGTAAAAGTTGTGGAATATGGGGTCTAATCTCACTTTGTTAATTGCCGTCAGCTTTAGTCTGGGTATGTTCACAAATTTGAGAGTTTTTTGTTTTTTAACATATATGAAGAGATGGAAGTTAGCTTTACATTAAAGTCATAGCAAAATTTCAGGCTTGTGGCTATTTCTTTCACTCTTCCTTGTTTCCACCTTTTTAAAAAAATTTTTGGTTTGGCATTGTTTATGTTGTTCCCCACTCTTGTATTCTGGTAGGTGCCAATTTCCCTACCAGTTGTGTTTCCAGTCCTGGAATCTCTTCCTATCCTGTTTAAAATATTATGGCATTTAATGTGCCCCTGCATTGGTGTTGTGTGTGCAGGGGTCTGGGGGGAGGGAAGAAAAGAAAAAATAATGTGCCCCATCTTTCATTTATCATTAACTATTTGTTTTTAGTAGTAATACTGACTCTTGAATGCTTATATGCGGGACACAGTGTCAATCACTTTATAGGTGAATAAATAAAGAACTATAGTTTCCATTTTACAGATGAGAAAACTGAGGTAGAAAGGTCACATGACTTAGCCAAAGTCATTCAGATAGCAATGGCTGAGCTAGGATTCAGTGCCAGCATTCTGTCTCCAGAGCCCTCCTTTGGTAGCCCTGGCATTAGCAGTAGGAATGAAAATGCTATCAAAATGCTAAGAAAGAAAAGATCACCCAATAGTATGATGTTAGTGTTTATTGAGCAATTACTAGTTCCAGGCACGATAATAATTGCTTTAAGAACAAATGTGTAAATTCATTAATCTTCTAGCACATAGTAGGTTTCCATTAAATATTTGTTAATTATAATATGTAAAACTCACATTTAGATGCAAGAACTTACATTGTGCCTCTTTTTTTTTTTTTTTTTTTT